TAGTGCCTCTTGTTGTCCCTCTCTCTGCTTTGTTGACTACCTGACTGATCTGCGGTTATCAAGAATAAAAGAAGAATAAGAATAATACAGAAGAAGGAATAGAGAAGAATATGAATTAACGAATAAGAAAAAATGAGCAATAATGGACACTAAGAAATATGAGAAGAGGGAATAAGATAAGAAATAAAAAGAAGAAGGAATAAGAAATAAAGAAGGAATCAAGAAGTAGGAATAAGAATAAATTCCCCAGCACATTCCAAAGACGAGAATCGAGGGCTTGTTTGAAATACAAGAGAGGGACCCCAAGATACAAGAGACAAGACTTGTTTGAAAGTTTTCGAACGTGTTATACATGTCAGTCGTTTCGGGCAGTGTCGTAGAGCTCGAGCAGTGAATTTGCAATTGACTATTATATATATATGTCTGTGGTGTACGTGTGTGCCTTCTCTCTGCCGCTGTGTTGCGTGTTGTGCTGTGGTGTGTTGTGTGTACGTGTGTGGCTTGTGTGTGCATGCCCCTCATTGTGTGGTTGTGTGTGTGTGTGTGTGTGTGGCTCTCGTCTGTGGTAGGGAGAGACAGAGGGTTGGGTGTGTGGTGTGGGTGGGCGTGTTTGCCGTGTGCGTTCTCTGGAGTGGGCGCGTGCGTGTGCCGATGTGCGCGTTGGCTGCTGTCGCGCGTGCGCGTGGCGTTGCGCGTGGGCGTGCGCCGTTGTGTGCCAACACTCTGTGGTGTGCGATACTGCATGGTTGTGATATTTAGTCTGAGCTTGCGCCTATTAGGTATATAAAACAGCTGATCGATAGCTTATCACACAAAATCTTATTGTTTATTTTTATATACAATATAACTTTTTTATTCGTCTCACGCGCGAAAATAACCGGGGCAGGAATATACTCCGTCCTATTGCTCACATTATTAAATAACACAATGCTACACTACTTATGCGGCAATATCTTTGGCGGTTTATAAACTCGGTTGGCATTACCTGTTCCATCGTTCAGTCGGTGGGTGTGGGGGGGGGGCATGCGCAGTTGAGCGATATATGATATATATATATATAATATATGATGAAACGGGGAACGCGCGCTGTCACCAAGCCAACGCCATAGACAAAGAGCTTATAATTGGATCTATAATATAAAACTCTTTTTGAACTACTCAACACTGCCGCCGATTGCATTCTCACGAAGACAGCATATTCAAGTGGATCGGCTTAGAAATAGCAGCAAGCAGCCAGCAGCCGGCAACCTATTAGAAATCGACAACTCGGTTCTAAGCAAGCTACGAGATGTTAATTAAAGTGGTCACAATTTGCGGTCGCTCTTCGTCCTCGCTGGTTTGTTACTCGTTAGCTCTATGCAATGAGCCTATGTATCAAGCAGGTCGAGTACACGTGCTGTCCGGCTAGCGCATTATGGAGAGCAAATAATTCATAGAATACAGGGTTGAAGATAAAATGTGAATTGCCGCGGTGCCTGTATATCCATAGATATACACCAACACATATCACGTAGTGAGCTTCCAGAAAGTACGATTACAAAATATATCCTGTAGGCTATGCTATATACTGCACCAAATTGGCATGCCGTCACCCAAAATATCGCGCCAATAACGTGGCGGCATCAGGGCATAAAATAATAATAATATAAGTAATAATAACGTTATAGTAATAGATAATAATAATAATAATAATAGTAATGATGGTGATGAATGATGATGATGATGATGCTGCGGCTGCTGCTGGATGATGATATGATGATGATGATGTAATGATAATATAATGATATATGATAATATATTTAAGATAAATAAATCATTATAACAACGTAATAATTGCTTTATATGAGTGTATATTGTCAGGCGACGCCATGAGGCTGGAATATATCGGCTGCTTTCTCAATCATAACGGCGACACGGTGAAGGATATGATACGGTTCGACGACGTTTCCGACGCCATGACTCCGACCGCATGCGCTGCTCACTGCACTCAGCTCCAGTACGTGTTCATGGGTCTAGCGAGAGGAAAGAGATGTAAGTGCGGCATGGAATACGGCAGGTTCGGACGTCGACCGGACTCAGACTGTAACATGGCGTGCGAGGGCGACGCCACTGTGATGTGTGGAGCAAGCTCGATAAACTCTGTCTACAGAGTTTATGAAGGTGAGCAGACGACGCCATGATTCCTTTCTTCGTTTTTAGCTCATCTGTGATCATGTGACACAATCACATTGCAGCTTGCAGAATGACAATGGAGTCCGTTCGTGCCGGAAGCGTCGCGTCCGGTCCAGTGCCCGTCCGTCAGTCGGGTCCGTCCGTCCGTCCGTCCGTCCGTCCGTCCGTCCGTCCGTCCGTCCGTCCGTCCGTCCGTCCGTCCGTCTTAAGTTATTCTTCAGAGATGTTCTTAGGGCTTTAACCCTATAATTTTGTCTTCTCTGTCATAAATTAAAGAAACGGGAGCCCGGTTCTGCAGGGGCAAATCTATTCCCTCAATGTCAGCTCATGCGAAGTATATTGCGTGCTGACAACCACAACATGAAATTTCGTTCTCGCACGTGTAGATGACAAATTCAGCGAGATGAAATTCCGCAATAGCGAGATCCAGGCCGGGCAGCAGCTGGGTCGCATTGTCATGGCAACAACAACAGAAGCAGCATCGGTGATAGCGTGTGGAGTGTCCTGTCTTATGTCACCCTCGTGCTTCGGGTTCGTGTGGATTCAAGAAGGAACCCAAAGCTGCGAGATTATGTCTGCTACTGGCAACCTAGGCAACTACACCATTCCCGCCGGAGGAAAATACTACAGTGGTTAACTACAGCGGCCTATAAACCGCATACATTTATGATATTATAGTCTTCTATACACTCTATTTTTCTACATAATCATTTTGCGCGAATATTCCGTATAGTGTGGTCTTTTGCTTCTTATTTTTTGGCCAAAGTGGTTTTCGTCAAGGAGGAGCATGAGGTAATAGTCCAGATATTATTTACTCTTATATACTCATTCATTATTCCGCGCTCCAATCCACAGGACTTGGAACGTCTTAATTAAAAAGGACAATTAACACGCGAAATGTATTCTACTACTCTCTTCGCCTATTATTGCGATAACTTGCTGTAATGTTTGTTCCAAGATCCTCCGTCTACAAACACCACAAGTTAAAGTAAAGCCGCACGCCCAACGCCCTGTGCACAAAAACCAAGATAATAGGTATTTGGTCTATAATTTTGATTACTTGGCGACCACGCACAGCCATGATGAGTGAAGAGTAGATTTAAGATTATTCAATTAACAAGCATCGGATAAGCGCGTGACAGCAAAAAAACAAAACAAGACCACCTTCTAACTAATATTACGTTGACACACGAGAGGGAGCCACGTAACAGGCTGCAAGATAGCGCATGCGGCACGATCACTCTAGTGTATATAACGCAAACGCGCTATATATAATGGCTGTTATAATAATAACTGTTATTATAATATACAGCTCAGTAATCGAGCTTCACGGAATGTTGAGGGCAGCGAAACAAGTGAACAGCACACGCACCCGCAACTCGTTGCGAAGAGCGACAGTGTGTAGAGACCTGCTGCTCACACAGTAATCCCAGAATCTGCAAGACATATTAATAAACAAACAAATAAATAAACAAATAAATGTACAGGACTTCGATAACAACGCACTCCGTACGGTAGCCATTAAAGCCTATGCAAACCCAACTATGTATTTTTTTCAATAAAAACACTAACCATACTAATCTACTACTAAACAATAATATTTTACTATATTACTATAAATACCATACACGTTAAACATACGTATTTTTATTGGGTTTCGCAACAAGGCTTTAAGCAACTAGATTGTTCTTTGTATACATCCCGACATAATAACGCTGGCTGCTAAGATCTCGATGCCAGCTTTAGAGAGAACACATAGGAGGCAGCGGCCACGTTGCATAGAGAAAACTGTCCGAGTCGAACAGGCCGTATCGATTAATGAGCTGCAGTTAATAAGCTGGTAACTATTTGATATGGTTAGGGTTCGTGTTATGGTTAGTGTTAGGGTTAGGGTTAGGGTTAGGGAGTAGGCGTAGGCGACTCCCTAGACTCGTTAGTGGAGTAGGCGAAGTACGGTGCGGCATATTAGATAGTACCAGGGTACGTTCCGGTATACCGGACCGTACCCAGGGTATACGTTTCGGCAGTACCCTGGGGAACATAGACCCTCTCAGCAGTACTAACAACGGCAGCAACAGTACTAACAACGGCAGCAACAGTACTAACAACGGCAGCAACAGTACTAACAACAGTAGTAAAAGCAACAGCAGTAACAACAGCAGCAGCAGCAGCAACAACAACAACAACAACAGAACCAGCAACAACAGCAACAGCAGCAAACAAAAACACCTATAACCTAATGTGTTGCAACAAAGCCAAATAATCACTCAATTACCACCTGAAGTTATCTCGAGCAAAACGCGTGTATACTCACTCACAGCGCAAAAAGAACTCTGGATGTGACCACCCTCAGTGCCATTTGGCTAAAAAACTGACTACCTGAACTGACTGCTGAATAAGAATAATAAGAAGAATAAGAAATAATAAGAAGAAGGAATTAGAAGAATAAGAAGAAGGAATAAGAATAAGAAATAAGAAAAAAAGGAATAGGAATAAGAAATAAGAAGAAGGAATAGGAATAAGAAATAAGAAGAAGGAATAAGGAATAAGAAATAAAAAAGAAGAAGGAATAAGAAATAAGAAGGAATAAGAAGTAGAATAAGAATAAATTCCCCACACATTCCAAAGAGAGAATCAGGGCCTTGTGAAATACAAGAGAGGGACCCCAAGATACAAGAGACAAGACCTGTTGAAAGTTTCGAACGTGTATTGTCAGTCGTTCGGGAGTGTGTGAGCTCGAGCAGTGAATTTGCATGATATATATATATATATTGAAGGAGACGTGGCTCCCACCAATCGTTGTTGCGCAATCGGACGTAAAAGACGATGCTTGGCAACGGAGTGCCGCGAAAGCGACGTTTTTTTTGGCGCACGTGTGAAGAAACGCGTGGAGCCATTTGGCTTGACTGATCCGGCAACAATAGCCAAGGTAGGGGATGCTTGGCGTGCCTAGGTGGATAGGTCAGTTGGATAAATTTTCTGCACATTCGGGTTTGCGACGTTTTAGCCCAAAATAGTTGCTGAGAAGCAAGCGTACTGCCATAAGGAATGCGTAAACGTATTACGTGTAGAATGTATCGATATGCATCACACAAATACGTTCACGTTAACTCATACGATGTTTTTATCTGTTATAAATGTAACTATGAATGTATTTATACAAGGTGGATTGGTATAGATATATTCATGGTATACGACCGTAAAAAAAAAAAGATGTGTGAGAGTTCGGTAGTTTAGGGAAGTGTCCTGACATTCACTCGTGTTTGATGGTAAAGTCATAAACCCTTAGCAGGGAAGACTTTCTCTGATGGTTGCATCCTACTGATCGTGCTCCCCATATTTCCCATCATTTCATCTATAGGAGATGACTAACTTCTTTATACTGTTCATGTAGATAATTGTACATCATAGGCTACCTAAACTATTATCATGTATTTATATACTGTGATTTTAAAGTTCAGATGAATTTTATAGGCTAACTAATATAGTACACTGCTCCCTTTTGGAGTCACTGCGGGTCAGAGCAAATTGGGTAGACGCATATATTATTATAATTAATATTAGTACGTTATAAGACATGTATTATTAGTTGAGCTACCTCAAACTTGTTGGATTGTGAACGCGGTATGGTGTAAATGGTCAGCAATACGTTCATTCGACTATCGCTGAGAGAGTTGGAGGTGAACATTAATAATACTGTGGTAAATGTACTAATGCAATGTAATGAAAATTGGAACGATGAATGGACGTATGCGTGCATGAAAATCGGGGTAAATGTAATGATTCAATTGCAAATGGAGTTGGAATGTTGTTGTTTTCTTTTTCTCGTATTTCTAAGATTCCGTACGCCCTTTCTATAATGCGTTTCCCTTTATTTTACATGTTGGAGTTGTCGGTAGCGTGCTATCGACGTAAGCACCTCATTGTAGGCATTGCCAAGCAACAGAAACGTGATTTGAAAGATACAGGAGCAACAGCAGTAACAACAACAGTAACAGCAGTAACAACAACAGTAGGAGTAACAACAACAGCAGCAACAACAGTAACAACAACAGCAACAGCAGTAACAGCAACAGCAGCAACAGCAA